TCAGCCATTTCCGTCTTCCGTGTCAGTTCATACGCCGAACTCAATATAAGACCGAGCAATTAGCTACGTCATAAACGACTACTTTGTTTGAGTCACATACAGGAATTATGTTATCTATTCACATTGTTTTAGGTGTTTTCCCCCAATGGGCGTCCTTTTTAACCGTCTCCTAGACAAACACCTTTTATTGTTTCAGTGGAACCACGTGAACCACGTTCTACAGAATAGAAACTGGGAATGCAAGCAACTTTGTCGCTACACAAGAAGAATGTAGATGATAGAACCTGATAAACAATATATCAATAATGTTCACCTAATCGGAAAGAAACACGTCTGTCGGTTAATAGTTTGCCAGTAAATAGTTCAATGCATTCGCCTGGAAATTGCCTTATTTTATTTTCACTATAATACAAGGCACAGTTTGCTAGAGGTGTCTGACTACATGAGGATGCAAAAACAGAGCAAATATACAAACCGATGGACAACCTCTTATTACACTACTCTTTTCGTTCAGTGGAGTCAAAGACCCAGGACAAGAAAATCAAAACACCTGTTGAAAACGGGGAGAGATGAACTTTTCAAGTAAACAACTCTATCACTGCGCAGTCGGATAGCCTCATCTGTTTAGGTCCTGTTGATGGCATTACAATCGATGTACCAGTTGATATGTTGTCATCTATTCCACACTTTGTACACATCACCAACATTACAATCATAGTCAGATAGCATCGGATGCATATTATAGCAATGGGGAACCTTCGGATTATTTTTGGCACCGTTATTTATTGATTCCGTTGTTTTGTCCAAAAATACGGCAAAAAAGTAAATGTATGCTCTCCGGGTAAAGGAGACATTAAAGCACGTTACGAGTTATCGAATTCTTGAGATCTGTCGCACTGACACTCATGCAGATCACTTAGGCTTGAACTCGATTATTCTAACAATAATGAATTAATGAACAGCGGTTTTGGGAGTCTGCCATCCAAAAATCGATAAACAATGCAGTAGGGTCTGTTCATGTTGGTTGTGGTTCCAACACGATTCTCAATGCTGGTAGGGAAGTAGGTTGTACGGGCAATGTTTCCAAATAAGATCAGGACAACTGTCCTCAGATCTATTCCATAGAGTGACTCGCAGATACAGAACCCCGAATCGGCGGTAGAACACACGGCTGGGAAATCTACGTGTACTGTTGCATACTCAATCATGAATTAATGGAAATACAACGGCATATCTCAAATTAGGGGCAACCCGGTCTGGACAAAACAATTGGTTCGACGTGCCAGGAAACTACTACTCGGCGGAGGAGTGCGTTGTGGACATAACGACAGTGCTACTTAAAGGGCAGTAAGGACCAATCACAGTGATGGAATAGCGAAGTGACATCAAAGGTGGGTAGAGGGCGACAGATGGCAATCGTAATCAGGGCGTAAGTGAATGAACAACGGACACGAAGAGGGTGTATGAGGTGGTTAAGCACACATGGCGGGTGGTAGCATGTGGTTCACGAGATAACTGACTGCGAGAAAAGAACGAACAGTGACAACAGTGAAGACGGTAGGATAATCAAAGCGGGTGGGTGATGAACAGGTGACCACAATAACGCGAGATAGTTTCTATGCCGAGTCGAGCTAGTTGATTACGCGAATGGATTGATCATAGAACGAGTGATGACAGTTACTATGACACAGATTCCATGTGGGGTGGCGATATAAGATAACGATACCAGGTTGGAAGAGGAACAAATCACGACAATTAACACGAAAGTTGCTAGGTTTGGAGGTTAGGTAATCATAGGGGAATACAGAAAAGTGGAAAGTGACTGACCACGAAGGGGGAACGCCGCAAGTTCCGATCCGGCGGGAAAAGGTCACCAACCTGGGAGGTGATTGGGAACGCACACGAATTGTTCGGTTTTGGATAGAGTACATGTAGGTCCGGTGTAAGCAATTTCAATCACACAATAAAGCACCTTACACAAGGTATTGACGATTGCTAACCTCAGAAGGATCGAAACCCACACGATAGGAAAGTTACACAAAGCTTGTTGTATCTGTTAGAATTCACATGATCTGTACAAAGTAACCTCTCTCCCTGTTTATTTACAATGCACTTGCAAAACGAATACTTTTGGGAGAATTAAACAATATATAAACGTATTTTAAGTTCCCTCTGCCACCCCATCCACATAAAAATATCCGGTGACTGTCTATACTCGTTAGTTGATTATTTAACATTGGGGAATCTTGTTTAAGAGAAACTGTACTACTCTTGGCTTTGTACAATAAATGATGGGTTTCATGTGACGATCGACCATGTTCAGATCGGGCCTTCAATTTTAAAACCATGTTTTCACGAGAATTGTGATTTCCCTTGACGGATTTTATTGTACCTAAAACGTTTCACGGTTTGATATTCTGAATCGGAATTGGGTTGCTTCAACTTCCACCCCACCCCTGGGGTGCACACACATTTGTCCGAATACACAGGACACAAATCTGTCACAGCTGTCACATTGGCTAGTTCGTTCCATAATTTTATCTTCCCCCGAGGTGCACACTGTGAAGCCGGCAAAATCATCCACAGTTGCATATTCAAGTAAGATGTGTCAGACGGGGAGTCAATATCGTCGATTGCTTCCAATCGTTGGAATTGAACAAATTGGAACAAAACACAAGTTTGTTTGATTCATACAGCCAGCACAACTGACAGATCTAATGCACTTCGGAGCGGGATAGGTTCCTAGGCGGTCCCGATTTCATACCCAGTGGACCTAATTTGTCTGCAGACGAGGAGAGCTGAAACACTCTGTCTACGATCGGAACCTGATAATAGATTTTCTCTGCCTATCGTTTAGCCGTGTGAAAAGGCTAATTCACTCCTCCCTTCCACTTCGCAAAAAAAATCAGAGTTCAACTGAAGCCGTTGTGTGAGGGAATAAATAATAAAGCATTTCGGAAAATGGTATAACATATTTCAAATGTTGAAAAGCAGTATATTTCCTGTAAAAAGTATATTTGCTATATTACAAAATGGTGCAATGAAAAAATGTCATAATCTTCCGGAAGGAAGCATAATTTCGACAATTGAATGCCCTTTCAAAACTTACTGGCAATTATGTGGTTAATTTGTCTACACACCGTTACCCGTGATCATCTTTTGCTCAGTACATCCCAACGCATTCAGCTACAAGGTCGCATTTATTGTATTAACTAATTTTGAAACTGGATGCGGTATTTACCTCCTTCAGTTTCGCCCCCTAAGTCTTTAGAGTGATGCACAGCAGCAGAAAATAAGAAATAACGGTAAACGACCATCCGAGTTAATCTCCTCAAACAGTTTGGCAAAACAACACTGTCGTTTGCTTTTCTGCCTTGTACATCAACCCTTGTGCTCAAACCAGTGGGTAGTATTTTAATTGAAATGTTCTTTCGTCAGAATCTGTCACTCGTTTGCAACGTTTAATGCGCATCACTAATTACCATCGGAATGAGTGCGGATGTCATGTCAAAGTCTCAATGGAAATTATGGAACATGGTTGTAGTGATTGGTCATGAACTATGAACTCTTTTGTTTTATTGAACACGATATCCTTGTATATTTCTGATTTCCGCCTATTACAATTCCATTCCGCTTCTGAGTTGACTTCTGATTTCGTTTTGCGTCCAAGTTCTGGAGCGGACTACCAGTGCGCGGAATCCGATACGTAAAGGAAATACAAGTACGAGTACGAACCACAACAACTGGCGTCGCAGTCATTTTGAACCAATGGAGTCCTGTAATTTGGAGAACTTGAATATATATGCCAGTGCGCGCGAAGTCGAAGACTATCTTGAACGGTTGGAGATTTAGTGTATTACGCGGAAAGGACTCGATGGAGAACGCAAAACGGCTTATTTCCTAACGGTCATCGGAAAGGATGCATACTCATTGTTGAAGAATTTGGAATTCCCAGACTCTCCTATATCGTTGTAGTATGAATCCCTGAAAACCTTGCTGCTGAAGCATCTACAGCCGGCTAATTTCGAAGCTGTTGAACGAGCCAAATTTCATTCACTCACACGTGGTGGAAGCCAACCTGTACGTGACTTTATTCTTCAAACTTCAGACTCAAGCATCTCGTTGCAACCTCGGAGATCAATTGCAAACCCAATTACGTGATCGATTNGCCCGGAATTACAGCAAAAGCTCCTGCTCATGCATGATTGCACACTTCATTTGGCTACGGCAGTCTGTGAACTGTACCAAGACGTCTGTGACATTATTTGTGATGAATTCAACTTGTTGTTCGACGCCAGCAATTCCAAACGGTCACCATCCGGACGAAAGCGGTTTTTCGAAAAGGGCTCGAAAATACCAAGCAACATCAGTTCTCCGGCCCGCAATGATCAATGGATTCAAAGATGGAACAAGTGCAATTCCTTTGGTCTAAGACATTCGCGGTTATCCTGCAGATTTCGAAGTGCCAAGTGTCACAATTGCGGTAAGCTTTGCCACATCCAATCTGTCTGTAAAAGTGCGAAGTCGTGTCTTGCCAAACGTACGACTGTCCATTCCTCTAAAGATTTATTGTGTGATTTACAGTCCTTAACTCTAGCCAGTACCAGTTCACGTCCCTCTCGCCATATCACTGGCGACTTCATCACTAATGACTCCATTCACCATACATTCGTTATGGACACCGGCAGTGTTGATTCTTTCATTTCCAACAAGGTATTTCGTCAGTTAAACCCCCAGTTGCACTTTCCCCAACAGACATTTCAGTTAAGGGAATTCCGGGTAATTTTTTGCCCGTCTTAGGATCATGCGAAATGCTTCTTAATGACGATAAATCACAAACATTTCACTGCCCGTTTTTGGTTATTGATTTCGACATTTCGATAATTGGTTTGAATTGTATGAATCATATGCATCTGTCACTTTCATTCGTGTCTAACTCCCATCAATCACTCCTTCGTCACTTAATACTTGAATGTTCCAAGGCAAAGGGTGGTATCAAAATGACTCCTGTGAGTCTCGAAGTGACCGGTTCTCCGGTGTTTATGAAACATCGGATTATCCCACTTGGACTTCGTGAGCCCGTAAAAAAGGCGTTAGATGAAATGGTAAGCAAGGGAGTTTTGACACCCGTAAATTCTTAGGCTTGGGCCACACCAAGTGTTACTCCACTAAAACGAGACGGGAAGACTCCCAGGATATGTGAGGATCATCGAGTCACTGTGAACGGACACCTGAAACAGTCTAGTTGTGCCACCGTAGAACCAGAAGACATTCTGCACCAACTTCATGGATTTAAATTTTTCACTAGTCTAGACTTGAAAGATGCATTTTTTCAAATTCCTCTTGATGAAAAGTCTCGTGAACTCACGACTATTAACACACCTTTTGGTTTATTTCGCTACAACTTTCTACCGTTTTGACTCAGTGTTTCTCCTGCTATTTTTCAAACTACCATTAATTCCATCATTTCTGGCTTACACGGTGTCTGTGCCTATCAGGACGATATAAATGTTCATGCGCCTAGCAGACACTTACATGACAAATGTTTGAGTGCTTCGCTTGAAAGATTCCGTTCTCATAATGTTTCTATTAACCCTGATAACTGTACCTTTGCTACGACTAAACTTTCTTGTTTAAGTTATTTGGTTGATGAATCCGGATTTCGTCCTGACCCTAATAGATTTTCTTCGTTGACTAATGCTCCATCTCCCAAGTCATTCCATGAACTTCGTTCTTTAATTGGTTCTTTACAATACTATTCCAAGTTTATCTCTAACTTTTCAACCCAAGCTGCTCCATTGTTCGATATACAGTCACAGCAAACATTTCGGTGGACTTCGGCCCAGGAACGTGTCTTGAGGAATTTACTTTCCTTTTTATCTACCAGTGCTGTTTTACGTCGTTTCTCCCCACTATTACATTCTACCGTCATCACGGACACATCGCCCGTTGGAATTGGAGCTGTGTTGGAGCAGAATGGTCATCCGGTGCTGTGCATCTCACGCAGACTCACGGCTGCCGAATGTGGG